TCAGAATGAAAAAAATGCTTTTGAAAAATTATTAATCCAAGTAATCAAGAAAGGTTTCTTGTTTCAAGTTCACAATAGTTTATATTCTGGAAAATATTATTAAGATTCCTCGATTAGATTCGCTTGACTATTGGTCAAAATTATGTAATACTATTTCTCGAATCATAACCACCAGAAGACAAGGCATTATAGTACACAGACTTTTGAAAGTTTGCAAAGTTTGCTTGATCATAATACAAGTTTAAACAATTTTCTTAGAGAAGTATCGATCATTCATGTTAACACTTTTAAAATGGCATGGTAAAGACAACCGTCGATTGACAAAGAAATAAGATTTGTTATATTGACAGAATTATTTAATCCACATACACATCCTTTTTTCAGATGTGTTATCAATCATATTAATACAATTTAACACGAAGGCTCACATACCGAAGCATTCAACCTATTTGAATATATACATGAAAAGTAGAACTTTATTAAAAATAAAAATCATGAACTCATGAAAACTATTCTCAATAAAGAATTGATTCCTACTGTTGACGGAGTTGGCAACCAAATTATTTCGAAATCTAAGGATTATTATTATGAAGAATATGAATTTCTAGTTTGCTTGGTTGCACCAATACTAAATTACAATGTTAAAGATGAAAACGTTCTAAAACACTTGGGATGGAATTCTTGTCTGGATGTTAGAATAGTTCTAGAGCAATTAGAATTATGTGTTATTCGTGTATTTAATGAACAACCACCTGAGAATTTGAAAGAAATTTGTAACGTAATATATATAATGCTTTTCAAAATGATGAAAATTATGAAGGATGATTTGGAAAATGAACCTTGGATTTGGTATAAAGATGCATTTTATTCAGCTGATAAATTCATCTTTCGTCTTCCAACTGAATTTGAGAACAATAAATCTTTAATTGTAAAACTTCCTAGTATTCATAAGAGATTTTATACCTTATTTAAAACAATGGGAGTTCGATTTTAATTATAAATACTATGGTAGAAGAAAATGAGAAAGTTATCAGATGATGAAATAAACTATGTCATTCAAATTCTTGATCTAATTTCCCAAATACAAAAGGATAATAAGTGTGAAAGAAATGATCCGAATGATTTGAATGAACTACTAGTGCTAAAACTGAAAATATGCTTGTGGATTTCAAATTAATGACATTGGGGAAAGAATTAGTGAACATGAAATAAGTCAACACATAATTACTCATCAATTTGTAACTCGATATATTGCTGATGAACTAGAAATTCCTACTTTAACAGGAACAATGTTTAATAACTTTAGTATTTATTCAAGGTAAACAATTAATTCAACATTTATAGGAGTTGGGAGTTATTTGAGCAAGACTAACTACCAGAATAAACAACATTATTAATATAACATTTATAATGCCACATTAAATTGTAATTTGTAAAGTGTTTAAATTGTATGAATATCATTAAATTTATTCACTAAGACAATTTTTTAAAGAATTTCTTCAAGTAAGTAATGAAATTAGTCTTACTATATATTATTTTTGTACTCTCAAATTGTTTTTGAATAACTTATTTTCTTTATCACTTTAATAGATGCAGTTAATGCTAAAGTATCAAAGTTGTCAGTAAATGTTAATGAAAAACCAAAATTCTAACATGATTCGTCTAAAATTTCATTACTTACAAAAGAAATGAATGGATAACAAAAGTTCTGCTATTTGTATTCTGTATTTTCTGGTGATAATTTTAATGCTTTGACTAACTTGAAATAGCAAAAAATCTCATAATGAAAATGAAAATGAAAATAGAATAGAAAGATTTGCAATAGAATTCAATTATGCTTATTACCAAGCATCATAAGCAAAGAAATATCATATTTTATGATTCAAATAAAAAATAGTTTTCGAAATAAGAAAATCTATCTAAAAGACAAATAGGCATTAAAATTAATTTTATAAAAACAAAATTTAAGGAGATTCCTGAATAGTATTATATTTATGAAGCTTAAATTGCAATTTTAATAAAAATCCAGTAAGACCTTTCTAAATGCATCCTCTTTAAATGCACATATATATATATATTTTATAAATGCACATTTTACACAACCCAAGTATATAAAAATCATATAAAATTTCTCTCTTTAAATGAACACCCTCTTTAAATACACATTTTTTTTCAAATTTTCATCATAGTCTTAAAGGGGATGCATTTAGAGAAGTCTCACTATATTACCAGAATATTATTTAGGCTTTCACTTAGAACTAACCAATTAATGAGTAATAGTAAAATTATGAACTATATCATTAAAATTAAAGAAATCTTGCAAATATTTAATAGCGTTTAGATTAATAATTAGAATTAAATAACAAAAGTCTAATGAATTAAAATAGAATAATAAGCTTGTAATAATATGCTGATTACCTATTACATTAATTAACTTTTGTAATTAATAATCTAATAATAATGTACTTATATAATAATAAAATTTAAACTATTATAATATAAATATTAAACTTCTAGATCATTTTGTTTAATATACCTTCCAAATTCACTTTTTTTTGCAAATTTACAAATTTGCAATTTCTCATTTATGAATTTTTTTATCATTTTTCCTTTCCTGCTAATGTATAGTTTATATCAGTAATGTATATTTTATGCTTTCAATAATAAAAAATTTGATTGAAAGCTTCCAATTCAAATAGTTTATTTATAAATTGTGCTTCCAAACTTTTTAAAAATGCTTATAAAGATGCTTTCAATCTTCTAAGTGCATATTACTGGTCATTAGATTATGGTGTTCGTGATTTGATATTATATATACATCAAAAATATTAATATAATTTTGGTCATAATGCTTGACCAACCTTTCTGTTTATAATTCTAATATAGTAACATTTTAAGAAATACTTTTTTTAAGAAATATAGAGTTATGCGATTTATATTACATAAATGATCAAGAACAAGTTCAGGTTCATCAAAAAATATGGTAAGCTCAAATTAATAAATCAAATGATCATCATGATATTTGTAAAATAAAGTGTAATAACTATATAAACATATCAGTTAAATATTAAAATTAAAATCAATAATATACTAGATAGTAAAATTTTATAAATATAGTTTTTATATATAGGAGAATATGAGAGTTTAAAAGAACTTTAAAAATTTTCAAGAAGAAATTATTTAACCAATTAATTTATAATAATTTTTTCTACATTAATTAATTATATTAATATTATTAAGCTATGGAGAGGTATTACAACATTATTTGCTTAATTTGATATAAAAAACTTTGGATGAATTTAAAGCTGAATCAGTAATATATATATTTATTGATATAATCACTTTTAATGTAAATATATAATATTAATTTTAAATTATACTCTTTAAATTCTCCTAAACTTAAAGATAAATTCTTTCTTATCTTACAATTGTCAATAATATTAAATTAGGATTTTATTTAAATATAAATATTATTATCTAGCGCTAAAAATAATGTTTTACAGTTTAAAATATTGTGAACTTGAAACAAGAAACCTTTCTTGATTACTTGGATTAATAATTTTTCAAAAGCATTTTTTTCATTCTGA